AAAAAGTAAAAAAAAAATAGAAATTAAGATGGTAATCAAAGATTATATGATAAAACCAATTTAACTGGATCCCCTATATCCATGATTTTATCTTACATATATACAAAGTACATAAATTACTAGTGTTGGTCAAAATAGAGTTTATTAATAGTTAAAAAAAATATTCCGTAGTAACAATGGGCATTTAATACATACGGGAGGGATGGAATAAAATCGGAATGAATATGGACAATTCAATGTTGATCCCAAGTTTATGGCACATTAAAGTTTATGGTATAAAATAATGACTTAGCTTGGATAAAGTATTTGGTACAAGACCACGAATAGCAATTTAGGATAGCAACAAAATAAATGTAGTACTTCGGACCATAATACAATAAATGGGAGCTAGCTAGCAAACTTTCTAGTCACTAAACACTATGGATAGAAACTCTTATAAAAATTAAGATTCCAACCACCTGAATTTAAGCCAAACATCCTTTGTCCTTTGCTTACCAAAGTTCTTCATATTGATCTCAAAGAAGTAGATTCCTTTTGCTATTCTAGCTAGGGAATCTCTTTCTAAAGAGTGGGAGGAAAAATGATATTGTTTAACTAGACCTTTTTACCAAGGTATTGGACCTAGATAACACTAGAACTACCTGGAAATTCATGACGCCTCATTTATATTTTCTTTTATATCGTGTTGAATCATGTTGATGGTATTGAATAGTACTATTTCTAAAAGTTCTTCTCATTTACATTTAACATGGCTAACGAACTGAATGACTAAATCCCACCAATAACTAATTAATATTGCTCGGGTTTGGATAATCTATCAAATGTTAATTGGTCGTAATTTAACCTTCTCCTTCCAAATTTTGTGGCTTATCCAATTTTGGTCATTAATACTTTGTATCTAACAAATGTCATGCAATTTTTTTTCCTACATCCTCCACCCTAGTTGATTTGTAACGTGTTGGCTTTAACGCCATTTTCATAATACCTTACTAGACATTTATACACTATTAATTCACTATTATTTTACCAATATTTCTTCCCATCTCGTTCGGCTCACATTTTAGTTTTGGGGTGTTTCTCCCTTCTATTTTTTTTCGACTAGAATAAATGAATAATGTGCCCATGTTGATGTATAAGATATGTTTACCAAGAAAAATAACGTTTTGTAGTTATTGAGAAAGTTATTAGTGAGGGAAGATAGTTACCAAGAGGTTACTTTGAATTTGGTTTTAGTGCATAAAATATAGGATTCGAGTTTTAGAATTAAATGTTTCATTTAAGGAAAATGTTATACATAATTTTTAGGGCTACATATAAGCATTAAATTTACACTTGAAAATCGTAAAAAGTTCAAAAATCATAAAAATATAAATACTAATTACACTGATTTACTCGTATTTTTGTCATGAATTCCTAATTTAATTTTATACAATTTCCAAGAGTGTCTTTAATGCTTATAATTCTTAGGGCTATATATAGCATTACCCTTTATTTAATTAAAGACATCATGTGTTTGAAATAAAGCTAGAAAAGTTACTGACTCCAAGATTATTTTATAGATACATTGATCGATTTTTGGCAAACCACTTTTAATACCTTACCTTGACAGTATTTAATTATACGGAGTACTATTCTACCACTATATTCTTTTACTTTATTGATCTTTTTCTTATACGTACTTGCCCACCTTTAAATGTAACTCTCTTTATTCACAATTTTCTTATACCCACTCACTTTTTTCAATAAATCTTTTCAAGAAGTGAGCCGAAAGTAAAAGAACGGATAATAATAATAATAATAATAATAATAATAATAATAATAATAATAATAATAATAATAATATGTCAACGATTTTAGATTAATCTAAATGTATAAATCTAATATATACTCATTTTTTTAAATGTATTTTTGCTAAAAGCTTTTATACTAATACTGATGATGTTCAAATTAAATCAAATAAACAAGATAATAAGCTCATGTTGATGCATAAGATATTTTTGTTTGTATAATTAATTTAGGTTTAGAAATATTCAATCCAATCTATATGCAAAAATTTGCGTAAAGTGGTTGTAGGAGGTTGCGAGGGTGGAATGGTAGTGTTGCACTATCTAGGTCTAAAAGTTCTCTGACTTGAGCATTAGACATTTTCTCGTGTTAGCATTAATCAAACAATAAATTATTCACGAGGTGAGGAACTCTCAATCAATCTCCTCACCATTTTAGTATCTCATCAACTTGGACCGTGTAAAGACCACCAAAAATCCTTAATTATTTGGCAATTTATTTGACAATTGACATCCAAAATGACGCATTTTTTGAATGACTTGTAAAATGCAATTATATAAACGTGTAACAATTTTAAGTGAAAAATCTAAATAAAAATAGAAAATCATTAAAAATAAATAAACAAATAAACAAAAAAACTATGCATGTATACATATTGCGTGGCAAAAGTAATGTAAAAATAATGCCAATGATAAGCATGTATGGAATTGCTTTATTGATTTTCCAAGCAATCTCTTATTTGTGTGAAGGATGTTTAAATAAATCATATGAGTGGAGCTCATTGGGTGATGAATCCCTATCCAAGGAGTAAACCCACTTTGAACATTCAATTTTTCATTTTTGTATCATTTTTGATTTGCTAACCCTTCAATATCAAATCAATTCAATTTTTATTTAATTTTATTCTTCAAAATAAAAAAAAAAATATTTAATCTTAGAGGTAGGTTAAGTACCATATTTGTTTGATCTTCATCATCTCCTTTATATCTTGTTTCCATCTTTTTGGACCTTGTCATTACTTTTATGTTACATGATAGTGCAACCATATTAAAATCTATGACATAAATCAATTTTGCTTAGCTAATCTCATACGAATTAATTTCATTTTTTTTCTTAAAAAAAATAAAATCATTATTATGCTTTTTGTTACTATAGTACTACATTATTACTATATTTATGCATTTAATCCTATGATAAAAGTTCAACTAGGGACAGTCAACCCCATTTTTACATCATTAAAATGGCATTTTGTCTAAAATAAGATCAATACTTTAAGCCTTTTGACAATCTTTTCATGTTGTAGAGATAATTCAGATAAATATCAATGGTCCACCAATTTATTTCATATAGTATAGTACGATTAGGCAAAGTTATGGCCACTACACCAAAGTTGTGGATGTCCTGTATGCGATCATTTGATGAGGATAAACTTTGAGCTTTGTCGTAAACTTTAGATATATAGATAGATAGATCGATCTTGTATGAGATGATTGTACACGTACCATTATCGTGGCCACGTACCATTATCGTGGCCTTTAATTTTGATGAGAATAGGGATTGTATATATATAGGCCAACGCTTTTCATTGATCTAATGGAATAGCTTAGAGTGACAATTTTTTTTTTTTTTTTTGGAATGACTTCTTGAAATGATATGATTGTATATGGAGAGGTGTAATTCAATGTATTACTATTGTTGTACCAATTGTATATAATTTAAGGATAAGTGAAGGTTTAAGTTCTTATAAAGTTATAACACCATCTATTGCTGTCATTTTGTAGAATATTATCATCGTAATATTTTTTTAATTGTATTTTACCACCTAGTTTTATCGAAAACACTAAAAGCTATCACCACTTTACCCCAACCTCCCCAGATGATGTCATGGTGGGTCCCGATTTTCTCCTTGCTATTCCCTCTTTCTTCTCTTCATTTCAAATTGAGATGATATTGTACCAAAAGACAACAATAGATATTTTAGTGTATTATTTGTAAGATATAAAAAATTCCAAAGTTTCAATCATACAACCAGAGGTAGTATATGTGAAACTGTGAAAGTAGCTTTTGTTCAAGTTGTGTGACTTGTTTCTAATATGAACGCCTATGACTAAGTAACCTGTACCACTTTATACAGGTTACTAGATTGTTCACCTGTACCGCTGTACGATGGCTACTGGCAAATTGAACTCAGAATTATTTTGGCATGCAAAAGATTGATAGTTTCATCATCTTATACTTGTACAACAATAGTGCTCATGCAGATCATATTTGGTATATCAACCCTTTTAGGAATTTTCACCGTAGCTATCAATTTTGAAAAGGGTAAATTCTACTTCCTCCGTCCTTTTTTACTTACCCGCTTTGACTTTTACAAAATTCACCACCCCTCCTTTGACCATCTTTTATGAACGATATGTAAGGAAAAATATATTCATGTTGAATCTTTTTGAATTCGTCTCAATAAGTAATATCATAATATATAACTTTTTATAGTTCTTACTTATGTCAACTTCTCATTCTAGCTACTGGTCTTGGAGTATATATAGGAATTCTGGCTAATATGTCATCTGCTGCTTCCAAGCATTCTTGGATCAACTTCTCAAATAATTCATCTATATATCCTGATGTTCTTGGTCTTACCAATTAACATGGTTCGTAATGTCAACCAATTATGTAACTATTTGGCTCTTATATGTTAGTCCTAGGTTGTCTCAGTGGGTTCACTTCTTCTAGTATTTCACTGTTAGTCGTTCTTTTATAGCCTTATCTTTGCCTTGATTGTAGTTTGATAATTTGATTAATGGGAATCATCTACGACTAGTTGGAGAATTCTGGCTCACAATGATCTTATTCTTCTTTCCTATTCTTAATTACTTGCTAATCAAATGCCATATAACATGAGCAAATCTCGACCTATCAGTCTCACCATGTAGTTTCACATATCGTCTTTTATTAAATTGGGCGTAATTAAAGATATCATTTGTTCATAAATGTCTTAGAGAGAGAGAGAGAGAGAGAGAGAGAGAGAAAAAAAAAAAACCATGTAGAACAACCTTTAAGGCTCAGTGGCATACGCTTTGTGTATAATTTCTTGACAAAACCTGAATAGTAGACGTTCTTTGGTACAAAAAGCTATTATAATTGTTTTATATTACCTTAATTAATAGCAGTACAAAGCAGTTCTTTAAGCTAATAGCAGCACCAAAACAAATCTATTGTATAACTGTATTTTATTAACTTAAAATAATAGCAATACAAAAGCAGTTCTTTTAACAAGCTCACAGAAAACATAAAAGAGTTACATAATCACTAACCTACCCCCTTTTGGTAAAAAGAGCTGTAAGATCAAAGATGTGTAAATTGTTAATTACCGTCGAAAATAAAAATTCTGCTCCAAAATTAGGAAGAACTGCATTTTCTTCAGTCCCGTTCTGCGACCTCTACAACAAGGAGCTCAAACTAAAAAGCAAAGCTTGAATGAGCCAATGCGTAATCTCATTTAACGAGTCGCCTTAAGTTTTAGGTCTGCATGCCTGCCAGTATTTTGGCATCTTGGATAAGACCTGAACAAGCTTGATGATTGGTCGCAGTTGAATTTTGACACGAATTGTTATTCTGTTAAACTCAACTAGTAATGTACATGATGTCCTCCTTTGTTATGGGTGTATCGTTGTCACCCTTTTTCACATTTCGCTTTTGCATTTGGTCTGGTTGGCCTCGCTAAAATGAAACAGAGAAAAAATCTCAGAATCTTATCAAGTAAATAACATGGTTTATCAGAAAAATGATATCATTCCATAAGAAAGCAACACTCATTGTATGCCCCCTAATGCATCGGCTAGGACAAACAAAGATAAATTGGTAATCGACCCTGTGTTATTTTGGTGCTACACAAGCATGTAGGGAAAAGGCTGCAAGAAAAATTTCAAAACCAGGTCTCTGATATAACTTCCTAGAGACTGCGCCAATAAATCGAGAGGGCAAGTATTCTATATGGCTATTTGGCTACATTTACAACTCCTAAGTTTATTGTTTGATGAAGTATGTAAGCGGGTATAGTATATCTGGGTTTTCATAAAGATGAAAGGAGTTTAGTACACGTGTACTCTTAACAAAATGAAGATTCTTAATGTAAATTTATCTAAGAGCTATTTCATAGTCTGCTGAATAAACACGGTATTGTTACCTTTCTCAGCACAAAAGCCAGATATAAGTAAGCTACTTCCCACTCATCCGGTGACAACGTACCTGAAATTAGAAAGCAGGAGGGAACAATAATTTAGAAGTGAACCAAAAAATAGATCCTTTAGTAACCAAATTTGTGCATAAGATTGGAGATTACTGAGAGCCTTGAGAGGCAGAAAACAAGTCATTACAAATCCAACGTGCATTGCTTTTTTTCTTTATTGCAGACTTACAAGTTACAAAAACTACGGAGAGGGCAGGAAGAAATATCACCACCAAAGTATGGAACTCACTCTTATCATGGGTATCACCCAAAGCACCCAGCCTCCTCATAAGATCAACAAATTCTGGCTTCTTCAAATATTCTTCGACAAATTGATGATTGTTTTTGGCAAAGACTAGTTCAAAGTCATACTGCAAATAGAGACAGTATCATCAATGAAACTAGACAATATATATAAATTTTGCAAGATCAAGCTTTTTGAAATATATTTTTTTAAAGCTATTTAAAAAAAAAAAAAAAAAAAAAAAAAAAAAAAAAAAAAAAAGGTAAACGATACGGGCAAATTAAAAAAGTTGGTGAAAGATCAAGTTTATATATAATATCAAACTGCTGCAAACCTGCAGTGAATGCACTCTAAATAATAAGGGAGGAAATCAGACATCAAATTACGAGTGTCAACTTTATGTAGACTTTCCTCTATAAACTTCTCTTTCTTCTTTCTCTATAAAATTGGCTCGGTTAATATAGGGCAAGACGAAGTCGTTTGGGATTGTTGTGCTCAAAATCTAATACAAAGAATTAATTAATTCTACATAGAACGACACACAAGATTAGGTTCACACTTCTCCCCTTCTCGCTTTAAATCAACACAACTAGCCTTTCTTCATTCACAACTTTTTCTTTCATTCGGAAATAAAATTCCCAAATTTTTGTTATCTACATTTTTTTTCTTCATTTTTCTAAATGTACATCTAATTAAAGCAACATAACTCTATACAACCTTCTTACAAATCACAAACTCCACCATAGTAAGATTATTCCACAAAACCAATGAAAAGGGTCAGCAAGGTTAACTTTGAGAATTTTGCCAAAAAAAAAATTAAAAAAAAAAAAAGATTAATCCGATGCTCTAACTACCTAAAGGAATCTTCATCCCCCCCACCCCCCAGGTACAACAATAGGCAGTTTTATCCTTCTTTGTTAACCAACTGAGGAAACTTCTACAACATAAATTCCCCTAACAAAACCATTCCTTCCAAAGAAAGTACATCAGGTTCACACACCTACTTTGTACTATTTACCCTTCATAAACGTTTTTGTTGGATATAGTTGCATTTGTTGAATGATGACACTCGTATCAATAGTTGCAGCATGAATCATTTGGTAAAACATATACTTTATAATTCACCCAAGTGACCCTTGATCCCTTCTTGCACACCAGGTATGGTGCTAAAGAATACCTTGATAACATAGCATAAGGTGGGTTAGAAAAAAGAGGTAATTGAACTCCTCTTCAAGTCAAGTACATTCAATAGCGAGAATCCTCTAAAGATCACCCGCATAACAACATTGTATGGTCACTCTCGAACTAGTGGGTAAACCAAAAGCTGCGTTAAGCTCGGCCGAAATCCAAGTGTAGTGCACCGTTTTTCGGCTATTTAATGATGACCATGCTTGGACTTTGGTCAAGCTTGATGCGACGCTTGTTCTTCCCATTGGTTGTTCAAGAGCCAAACACATTGGGATCCAGATGATCTTTTGAGGACTCTCACTAATAGATATACATATGAGCTAAAGTGGAGTTCAATCATCTCTATTCTCCACCAAGACTTGCGCTATTTTCTAGGGCTATTTACCAACACCATATATAATTGACAAGAATGGAGCAAGGTCCACAGGATTGAATTATATATGCTCCACCACATGATTCAATCGATACGGGTGCCTCATTCAAATAGCCAACAGAAACATTAATGAAGTAAAATTAGTGCATAGTGAGCTCATGACCAAACATCACTTTCTTTAGGTTATGTAGAAAAATTTAAGATGGTAGTTTGGTGGGGGATTTGATGTCATAGATGTTCCCAGTCTTCCCACCTACTGGTTTTCAAAGAAAGATGACGCTGCCCTTAAGTATACCAAGGGGATAAGGATATATTACCATTGTTGAGAAAATGTCCTTAAAAAATAAGAATAAGTAGTCTATTCATTGTTTGTCAACAAGGGTCCAAGTCCTTGCTCCCAAACCATCCATTCCATCTCATCGCTCTGAGGATACTAGTTTATCTTCTACTCCAATAGAGAAATTTATCACAAATCTTTAAACTTCAATTAATGGGATAAAAAAATGAGTAAAAGGAGACCCAGGAGAAATTAGCCTCCATAACTACAACTTTTTGCAAATATTAGCACCCAGATGCATTCTAAGGTTTCTCAAGCATTCTTTCTTCTCCTCTCAGGTTTTTACCTTCATTTTTTAATATGCTTTATTTTGAATTGTACACATTGTATTAACTTTATTAAGTATGAGAGAAGGTACATGAGTGCACATTATTTTCTTTCTTTTTATTTTAGTTTGTATTAGGATAAGTTTTCCAATTATAATTACTTGATACATGGGTGCTTTTGGCAAATAAATATGTATTTCAAACACTTATTTTAACTTGTAGTACTAAGTGACTTAGAATTGTTCTATCCATTCCAAGTTTTGACTTTTAGCACCAATTTTTGTTAATATATGAAAGTAAATGTTAGTATATACGATGATTGATCCATCTAATATATTTTTCAAATATTCCGCATTTTTAATGTCTACAAACATATAGTTAAAATATATTATTAGTCAAACTCATGCAGCATATTTTGACTCGATATGCTTGCTTACGCATGAATTTGACTAATAATACATTTTAACTATAAATGTGTAATATTTGAAAAATATATTAAACTATCTCCCAAACTTCCTTTCTCAAGGTTCCAACAACATAATCAGAAGGCGATAGATCAAACATCTTTTTGTACTGATTATTAGACATTTTTTCAATATATTAGATGGATTTTTTTAATATATTAGATGGATTTTTCAAATATATTAGATAGAACAAACGTCACTTTGTACTGAATATATTAGATAGTTAAATATTTTTTACCTATATTTAGGATTTTAGGGTCAAATGAGAAATTCCTTAAAATGAGAAAGATAAGAAGGATTTTATGTGCATACTTTTGTACTGAATATGCATATTTTTTTGAACTAAATGTGCCAAAAAAAAAAAAAAAAAAAAAAAAAAAAAAAAAAAAAAAACCAAATTTGATATGCATAAATTTTGAATATAATGTAGACATTTTCTGATTTTCCTGAAAATTCAAAATTTTTATTAGTTCACAAAATCAATTTTGCACATCTAGTGAAAAAAAATTCACATTTAGTGGTTTTTTTTTGCACATTTTATCCTTCTCATTTAAAGAATCTTATCATTGGATCCCATTAGCAGCATTCATAGAGGTTAATTAATCATAAACGTTATCATTAACAGCATTCATAGAGGTTAATTACAAATTAAAACATAAGATTTGTAAATGCCATATAAAAAGACAGCATTAATGACATAAAGAAGGCGATCAAACTAAAGTAACTGCAGTCATGGTGACTCAAATGTTAAATGCCATATAAAAAGACAACATTAATGAAGGAATCTTTCACGCATAAAATAAAGGAGAAAAATTGAGATCATCAATATCACGGAGTATCATTGATGTTTAGAAAAGATTTTAATATCTATTATACAATTTTAGAGTTCTTTCCCCTACTTTTATCCACAACACTACAAATCTACAATCCTCAAAATATATGCACTTATTTTTTATTTTATTTTTGAATAACTTTCTACTCTTTTTGTGGTTTTTTTTTTAAAAAAAATCATAACTTCCACTTCTATATATTTAAAAAAAAAAAAAAAAAAAAAAAAAAAACACCAATTACTTTTTTTAAAAACCACCCATAACTACCAATTACTGTTATTCAAAGACTATTTTTTCATTTCAAGATATATATATACTCCGTGCTTTAGCTCGGGTACGTTCTAGTTCAGATAAATTGAGAGTGAAAAAAGGTTTAAGGCATAAGTATCGATGACATGAGACTAAACGAATAACATTTCCCCTCCATGTGTTTATTACCTATTTGGAGCTTATCCTCCATGCTAATAAGTTTTCTTTCTACAAGTAACAACACATTTTTTACACCTTTGTTTTATCAACATGAGAGGTTAGTAAGCAAATCTACCCATAATAGACTGTAAATTGCTTGCTATAAGACTAACATTTCTGCATTTTTCTGAACTGAAATGATGGCTAGGAGACACCAGTGTTTGAAAAAGCGCCTAGGCGCAAGGCGAAATGGGGTAAGGGCTCAACTTGGTCTGGCGAGGCGTTTTTAGTTAGGCGCATGAGGCGCACCCGAGGCGCAAGTGAGGCGCACCTGGAGAAATTTCTGCCAATTTTTTTAACTGCTTGTACAGTGCGCCTCTGAGGCGCAGTTAGGCACTGCATGACCCTTCTCGCTTCAGCGCATCTTGAGTTTTTTTATACATTGGGAGACACAAATAATATGCTGATCGAAGAATGCCAGAAAGTAATCCATACCTCTTCAGCCAGTGCCTTGAAGACATGGAAAGGGACAACCCATTCAGGACAATCAACAGCATCCTATCAACAGAAATTAGACATTGATAAGACACAATGCTAAGAAAAGGAAAGAGTAATAATTATGGTCGCAATCCTCAAAGTGAAAACCCAAATCTGAAAAAAAGCACTTCCAATTCTTGACTTACAAAGTACTGTATAAACAATTACATCATTTCTATATGGGGATATCTGGATGGATTAGAAGAAATGACCAATAAAAGCTGTTAGGTCAAAGATAGGAATATAGGATTCCCAACAAACACTAAAAGGATGGATACTTGCAGCACGCAGTCATGTAAAATGCTCTAATTTTGGTCAGATAGGGCCACCTATCTCTGGTGGATAGTATTACTTAGGAAATGGTGAACTAAATGCATAATAATTTGGAACCAATCACAAATTACAGCCATTTAAACTTTGTATTTTACAAATTGCAGCTATTTAAAAATAATTGCAAATTGCAGCCCAAAAGTACTAATAACTTGTTAATTGCCACCCAAATTAATTATTTCATCGATTTGTGTGCTGAAAAATGTTCCGTAAAGGTTTTAGGGGTCGTTTTAGCTCTTTAGGATACGAATTGAGCTCGGAATTGGCAAGAAAATAGCATAAGTGCCTCGTTTTGCATATCAAAAACTGATTTAATTTGTGTGCAGCTATTTTTTGCTGTGAAAATGAGGCACTTCTGTTAATTTTTTTGCCAATTTCGAGCTTAATTTGAGCACTTAAAAATTAAAATGACCCCTAAAACCTTGACATGATTTATTTCCGCACGCAAATCGGTGAAAAACTTGGATTGGGTGGCAGTATACAATTTATTAGTGCTTTTGGACTGCAATTTGCAAAAAAAATTTAATGGCTAAAAATTGCAAAATACAAACTTTAAATGGGTGCAATTGACAAATTTTCCTAATAATTATGGTAGATATTTATGGTGAATTGTCTGAACAAATTACGTAAGCAATGATAAAAGAAAAACTTTGACAAACACATACCTCTAAGTGAAACTTGTATCGGATACCAAAAGGATTGGATGCTTTAAATTTCTGAAGCCAAAAACAGTAATTAGTCATGGGAGGAGCAATTTTCAGCAACCAGAGAAATAAAAAATAATAAAAAAAAAACCAGATGGATGTTAATATAAAAGCAAGAAACAGTTACCTTATCAGCATAATCCTCATCAAATCGTATCCAGTAGACACTGTTTCCAAATTTTAAACCTTCCGCTGCATGTTATTCAAGAAGAATTAGGATTAATTTAAGCAAAGTCTAATCATCCCACGATAATACAACTCTTCAACCCTTCTTTCAGGTGTACACTATTATTCTTTAAAGTTTCCAATCAATTTATCACAGGCAAACCTGTAAAAATTACACGTTACATTAAAATTTGCTTCCATTTCGGCACAAGACTTTCAACCAAAATGGCATAAAGGAGGGCTTTAGATATGGTAAAATAGTAAAAATCAATTTAAGATATATCATATATATGATCGATTGTTAAACCCAGATGTATCGTGACCTAATGAAAATTGCTGAATTTGAGAAATGCAAAGACGTCACAATATCAAGCATAGATCTTAAGAGAGAGCAGCTACTATCACCCTATTCAACTAAGTCTCTGTCAATCATAAAGATAAAGACCTCAACAAGAATGTTCAGAAATTCAATGACAGTAATTAGATTATTCATACCAACACTCAAAACTGTGTAGACTTGAAACCTACAAGTATTCTATTAGGATGTGAGGGAACAAAGGAAAGACACTAACAGCTAGGTGAAGATGGATTAAAAGCATGCATCTTACATAGAGTTTGTGTGAGGAGAAGATATTTTCTAGTCTGTAATTACCATCAATTTGGCTACCTATATAAAATTACTTTGTGGTTGATGGATTAAAAATAGGAAGTGTTTTTCATCCCATGTTCCATTTCCTAAAAGATTTTTAAAAAAAAAAAAAGTTTAAATGATCATAGGAAGTAAAACAAGGACTAAGTAAGAAACATACTCCATTTTGTGGGGAGTAGAACTTCTTATAATTTTGTCAATTAAACAACTCTATAGTTTTTCAGTTCTCATGAACTTCCACTACCAATAATTTTGTCAATTAGATAAAAACTAATTAGAGCAATTATTTTAAAAAGGAAGAAAAGGAAAGATAACCTCATCATCAGCAAGAAAAATTGCTTAATCATACCATCAACTTCTTTCAAAACAATAGTACCATGATCAGAATCAGACTACTAGCTAGTCCGTGTTAGCATATACAACTATATGTTAAGGCAAAGCAAGAATTATGTGAACTAAAGGTTTACGGGTTTTAGACCATAATTAAAAGGCACTAGGAGCTTCTTTGAGTACGATATTCAGCATGAGAGAACCTAAAAATCACTGTATAAATTTTTTTATCTTATCTGGGAATGAAGGATATCTTTGTATACAATATTCAGTGTAAAAATGCCAAAAGTTTGAAAAACAGTACATCTGCTTGGACTTTCACTACATTTCATGTACATTGTACAAAAAGTCACAAACAAGAGCGTTTATAAAATAATAGAAGAAACCTTCTCTGTACTTCTTGACAATAACATTGGCATCAGGCATTGTTCCAATCAAGATGCCACCAGGTCGAAGCAATGCTGAAACGTTAGCCAAAGCTCGCCGTGCACGTGCCTCAGTAGACCATGAATAGTGCAAGGCAAACTGCAAATATCAAAGAATTGTGGGAAAAAAAAAAAAAAACAAGTATTCAATTTAACAATACAGAAGGATTGCACCATTGTACACTAAAATAATTAAAATTTATGAGAGAAACAAGGACCAGCCTCTAAATCTAAGATCAGAGAAATTGTATTCACTGTCAACGTTTTCATCCCTAATGAAGCTGAGACTAGGTCCAAAGTCCCCACACGGTTGAAAATTTTGTTGTTTATTAAAATATGAAAGGTAATCTCGCCTAGCAGGTCCCTTCAATGATGTTAGGCTAACTTATGTAATTAACAAAGAACTTCTAGGGCTTATGGAGTCTAAATTTGACAAGGTAGGATAAAAAGACAAAAAGTAACCTGGCAACTGCAAAGGTCAAAGGGGCCATCCTCTGCCAATGCTCTGTCCAGTCGAACCTGAAATAATCAGAAAATACTGAGAATCATAACAAGTATTTCTATGTCCCAAAAACTCAGTAGTTAATGATATTATTAGCTGTTAAAAGGCGCATTATTATTCATACATGACTTATAAAGTAACAAATCTTCACAATTAACTGATATCCAGTCGAAACTACCTCAAAGCAATCTCCACATAAGAGGCGGGCTGGGAATTTAAACTTTTTGCGACGCTGATTCTGATCTGCATCGCCATTATACCGCGTACGACAATCTTCTATCTGCACAGTTTCTAATTTTAAACTAGATTGCAATACAGTGAAAAAGATCTATAGCATTAAGTGCTTGTCTGACTAATTTGTCATAGATACTTATATCACTGAAGCAGCAATAAAACAAATGAGCTACTAATTACTACAAGTAAGATTTTATGCCATACCGAGCCTTCAGCAATATCAATTCCAACATAATATCCAATCTTTGCCTTGTCCCATTTTATAAGATCCCCACCCTAATACATGGTGAGATAGAGAAACAATCAGTACATTGTTGTACAATCACATCATCAAACAATAACTACTAACCAGATTAAACCTAATTCACCTTTCCACATGCAAGATCAAGAACAGCATTCCCAGGACGAGCATAAAGCTGAATTAATACACTTTTAATCTGCAAAAGCAAAACAAATGTGAGGAATTTCCATCACAAAGTCCTAAAGAAAATCTCATATAAAATTCACAAAGTATACCCAATTGTTAAGTTTCTTCAAATGGATAATAGGACTTGCTTCTCGTTCTTCCAATGTCTGGTTTGTTCTTGCACTGTAATGATCAGCTACTTTCCGAGCAAAAATTTTTGTACTCTCATCCTCCAGGAATACCCCATCTCCTAAATTGCCATTAACAACATATTATTCAATGATCCAATATACAAAGCTTTACTCTAAATATAATTACACCCTTCCAACCAGTGTTTTTTATGGTGTAGAGAGAGCTACAAACGGAAAATGATTTAGACGAGATTTGATTCCGGTCTACCTACCCCAAGACTTTAACCAACTAAACTAGCTGACACCCACACGAGGGTATTAAATTACACCTGAGTGTAGGATTGAATTTACCAGCAAAAGACAAACCTTTCTTTTGAAGCAAAGAACTACAATTACAATGTCCACCATTTTAATGATGCCCAGAAAATTACATTGATTTTAAGATAAAAATTGCCACTAATAAGCGAACCCGAAAACAAATACTTCGTATATTACAATTCTAATTTACACAAGTTTTAGTATGATATTCTCAACACTTTCTTAACTGAAGTACAGCTGAGAAAACAGTCAATCAGTTGTAAAATAAGAAAATAAAAATCAATGAAAATATTACAAAAACCTAAATTAATTCATCAAATAAACAAGATCATAAATTTGTGACAAAAAATACAAGAAAAATACCTTCTGGGTTGGGTTTGGATCGAGATTGAGGAGGACCAGATGGAGAACCTTGATACCCACGTTTCATTGCTTAAAATTACAACAAATTTGAGGTCTTTTATATCAAATTTAATCAAACAAATGTGGGAAAATTGTGGGGAAGAAACTAGATTAACTGAATTGAAGTTGGTGTGAGTAACAGTATAAGTTGAGTGGAGGGAAAGAAGGTTAGAAATTCTCCAAGAATGTCTTTGTGTGAGAGAGAGGGAAGAGAGAGAGGAGGGAAGGAGAAACAGATTTTATGTGTTTAGTACTTTGGTGGAATTATGGAAATGAATCAAATGATAATCACATTAATCACAATTATATCATTAAGTTTAGTAAACAATCTCCCTTAATTGAGAGGAATTATGAAAATAATAATCACACTAATCACAATCATATCAATAAGTTTAGTAAACAATCTCCCTTAATTGAAAGTAATTGTGGAAATAATCATAATATGACAATTATTTGGGGTATCTTTCCAAATTGGAAATTGTTATGATCTAAATACTCCATAACATATTATTTTCGCAAAATTAGTCAACCGCGGCTCTAATGTGAATTTTACATGAGAAAATTGGATTTAGGTATTACGTGTCTTAACAAGAGAACACATTCATTTTATTGAATTCTTATTAAAAATATATTTGGAATTTTGGATGATCAACAACAATTTAACCATTCTAAAACGCAAATTACGAATTATTATGTGATTTTTATTAGTCACAATTAATAAAACATCTTATGTTTCAAAATTTTTTTATCAATATCTTTTTCAGTAAAAATGGAGAAGAGTCAAAGCACCTTCTTGGCATTGTAGTTATGCTTAATACTTGTTTGACACTTAGAAATGCAATTAAGATAATGCCTAAATAATATATTTTAAAATCTTTAAAGTTCGAGACAAAGATTTGTCTCCAAAAAAAAAAAAAAAGGTTGGAGACCATGATAACTATGGGGTTAACAATTTGAAAGGTTTGATAAATGGTCTCAAAAACTACGTATTAAACGAATATTTGTATGTGTAAATATTTAGGGGGTGTTTGGTATCAAATTAGTAAATGTAAGGGAATGGAAACAAATTAGAAGGGGAAAGGGTAATATATAGTGTTACCCTTACTAGTTGTTTGGTATTACTAAGGAAACGTAAATAATTGTAATCAATCCCTTTCCTCTTGTTTGGCATAGATAACTTGGAAACAAATAGTTTTCCTTCTAATTTTTGATGTCTTGGCTAACTTTTGATATACATTATACAATGTAGAGCAACACTAATTACCATAATATACATATATATATTTTTTGAACCGATTACCATAATATATCATATGCTAGATATATAGGCAAAGTCACATAAGTTGTTGACTACAAAAGCATTGAAATTCTAGTATTCTAAAAAAAAAAAAAATAATAATAATAAAAAAAAGCATTTAAAAACCATTAAAACATTAACTCCAATAACAACAACTTAGGACAAAACTTTCTACTTCTTCTTAAGAAGATCAATTGCATATTGTTTCTTCATATTAGTTGGAGCTTGATAGAAGATGCTGAGCTTCATACGTCCAATACCTTTTATTTTTACCTCTACCTCGATTGCTTGCCTCACCCTTAGCTTGACTAGCCTCCATCTGAAAAATTAAAAACAAAAAATAAAAAACCAAAAATCAATTGAAGCTACTACTGACCTAATGCTGATTTTTTTAAAATAAAGACATCATTTAACAATCACCATTGAAAATGTTAACATACAAAAACATAACACCATAAAAAAGGTAGTGGTACAGATGCAATAAAGACTGAAAGGATAACAAGCAGACTAGTAGAGGTTATGAGATGTCAAGACTTAAGAGTAAAATTATCGAGATTATGAGATTAATGAGTTTTTTTTTTCAACAATAGATTTAAAAGGTACATAAATTTAATTAGCACCCAAAGATCCATCAATTGTGTCAAAAGAGGCTTAAGTGCCTAAGATGCATCAGTATTAAAGTGCCTTAGCAAAATTTCCTAGCCTATAACCATGAAGGCAATGAAGCACACTAGTACAAATCAATGAAAACTAGAAAATATAATGTCCAAGACAAAATCCTAATAGTAAATCTAGACCAATGAAGCCTTATGTTTCAATACAAGATCAATGTACACCAAACTTTACAATCAAAACAACATAATAGGATTAACTAATCTTGAATTGAGAATGATGGGATTACAACAATACATAAAAACACACTAATAAAACATTCTTTTAAATGGTATCTTTAACCTCTATATGGAGCAAGAAAACCCTCACAATTCGTATACCCCGCATCAGCCAAATAATAATTACCTTCAAAGTTATTGAAAAAAAATAATTACTTCCAACCAAAACTAATAAAACATATACACTCACAAAAAAGGCCTTCACTTACCTCAAGGTACTCTAAAACCGTTTGGTCTAGAAAGAGCATTTCGAAGTACACGCATATCATGGGCCGAGTCTTCCCAACCAGGAAGAACATAAATAAATTGCATATTAGGTGCACAAACACCCAATACATTCATAGCAATCGTTCCTTTTCTTGTTCTATACTTTGGTCGTTCTTTTGAAGGCACATTTACATTAATGTAAGTCCCATCTAATGCCCCTAAACAATTCTACAAAAATAGGAAAAAATATTACTTACAAACAAGCAAAAATAAGAAAATCCTAGCAAAATTTAGGGGCTTTGAAAATATCAATACCTTGAAGGATTTCCACCTTTCATCTTCACAATCATCCAATATTTGTGTGGGATTGTAAAGTAGTACTTCATGCAACTTGAGAAAAGCCCTTAGACAAAGGTGAAATTGCCGGCTCACGGTTTCTCCACTTCTATAGAAGTAATGTCCAATAGACCTATTCTTCTTATGATGAGCCAACGTGTATAAAAACATGGCTACTATCTCTTGAAGCGACATGTTTTTTGTTCCACTCAAACCCCCAATGTCTCTAAGCATCTCACAAATAATATTGAAAGTTTTTCTATTAACGCGAAGCTCACTCTTGCATTTCACATCACTCTCCTATAAAGCCCTCTCAATACTAACATCCGTAACAATTTTTTGTTTCTTTTCCTATCTTTTATTTGAACCCCCCTTATTGTAACAACGCTAATTATATACCACATCCAATACATCATCAACATAATAATAACCATTGCAATTACTATTTGTATTTGTTTTAGCTTTTCTTCCTTATAGAATGCATAAGTCGAGGCATTGTACAAGAAACACAGAAAATAAATGGCAATTGAACCTGATAAATGGCAAAACAATAGTTATATCAATCTCTAGTTAATCAAATAACAAATATTGTCAACCAAATCATGAGGAGTAAACTACTCAAGAAACAAGCAAAATTAAGCAAAAAACCATGGTCTATATACTCAAAATAGTAGCAGTAACTTTCTCACTGTAATGCATACACATATGGAGCAAAATAAGACATGTATAGCACCAGAAAACCATGGTCTATATACTCAAAATAGTAGCAGCAACTTTCTCATCGTAATGCATACATATGGAGCAAAATAAGACATGTTCAGCACCACCAATAATCTATTACATTCATAACATAGATATAATTACCAAATGAAGAAATTATACAAAACTCCAATGTTTGTTAAATAATTTCAAATGAATTGAAGCTTAAAACAATAACATTCGTAGCTGAAACTTGAAGTAATTATAATAATACAATCAAAAATCAAACAAAAACAACTTTCTAAGATTGCAATTGAACACGGAAGTTATAAATTCATACCAAAAAACGCAAAAATTGATACTACATGAACCCTAGAAATTGAACGAAAACAACTTTCTGAAGTTGCAATTGAACACGCAAGTAATAAATTCATACCAAAAACGCAAAAATTGATACTACATGAACCCTAGAAATTGAATGAGAGAAATGAAGATAGCAAACCTGTGATAATTTCTGAAGATTTGCAGAAGAAAATCGAAAATTTAGGAGTAAGATCTGGAGAATTGCATCTTCCTCGTAGAATCGTCGAAATTTTTTGGGAATTTTCAAAGAATTATCAAGCAAGTGAAGAGGAGAGACAAGAATTTTCTTTATTTTTTGTGTTAGAGGAAGGAAAGGGGATTTGTTTCCTCACCTATTACAGGGGAAACAATTGGGTGGATTGGGTTACCCCTAACTAACGGTTTGTGTTACTTTAGTCCGTAACCAAACACAATGTAACGGAAACGCTAATATGATTCCGTTTCCATCCCTATAAAATCCCTATATCAAACACTCCCTTAGTGTTATGCTATCAACTCCAATTTCTACTCATTGTTACTTGTAGTCGGCTCGTGGCTTGCCTACATGTTAATGAATTTGATGGGAAACTTCCCTAAACACAAAAAAAATTCTTCAATAAAAGCAAAATGAATAAGTTAGGGATGCTTTAGCATTGGAGAAAATACGAGTTTTTCATATTGCCAAATGCCAAGTATCTAATGTCATTTGCTTTGTTAACTATTGGAAGTCATGAATAGGCATTAACGGCTGAAGATTTCCTTCATTGTTGATCAGTTAAATTTTCTCTATTGTTGAAATTTTCTCAAGCTTTATATTCCTCCATTTTCCATGATAAACACCTATCATTTTTAGGTTAACCATTCCCTTTATTTCAATATTTAATCTTAGGTTTTTTGTAATGAATGTTTTGTATAACATTAATCGTGCAAGCTGGTGGTGCGAGAAGGTGAATAATGAGGAAGTAAATGGAATGAAAATGGTGCAGTCACTAAATGTGGATAAGAAGAGGGGGGAGGAACTATGAAGAAGATGAAGGTGGATATATATATAATCAGGATCATGTGAGAACCTAGATCTATAATAGGAACTAGGAACTCATCGTAACCATTGATCACTCTCAATCAGACGGCTCAAGTTTTACCCGCCTTTTTCAATCTCATTAAGGGCATTTTCGTAATTTAGAGCATTGAATGACCTCCGTTCTAATTCGCATACACACTTCATTTTTTATTTCTCTCCTCTTTAGATTCCCTCTCTTCCTCACAGTCCTCTCAAGAGGCGATTATTTTCTACGCTCTTCCATTTCTTCACTCTACAATTTCTTCGCATTTTCTCATCAATTTCTCGCGATAATCTATTAAGGTATGTAAATTTTGGTTTCATTTTGTATTTGCTCAATTTTGAAACTTGTTTTTGCTATTTTTATTGCAAAAATTTGGTTATGCGGTTTTTTATTGTGAAAATTAGGGTTTCTCGTTATTGAATTATGTGTTCGACTTTTATGATTTCGATTGATATATTAGGGATTTTAATATGTTTAATTTGTGTATTTGCAATTTAAATTGTTAAAATTATAATTTTTTTTCACTTATTTATTGGAGAATATGCGATTGCAATTGATTTATACATTATTATGTAATCTACTTTTTTCAACTTAGATGTTAGTACTGGGTTGAAACTGTTGAGATACATACTTTTAAGTAATTTTTCACTAATTAAGCTAATTAGTGGTTCATCATCACAATATTATTTTCGATTGTGGTTCATCCTCTGCATCTTATCTTTACACATTGCTGATCTCTTCGTCAAGTAAGCTATCTGTTTGGTTTTTTGAATTTGATTGATTTTAGAGGTTTTGTTTGATGTTCAAAAACTAGGTTTTAATCAATTTTTTTGTATTTAGTTAGGTTTTCAATTGAATTTGTCTCTGATCATTCTTATTTTTGGTTGAGGTTTTATTAATTTTGATTCTATTGCTGGATAATTGAGTGGTTATATGTCATATTGCAGCTTGTAATAAGCTAAAACTAGATGGAGAGGTTTGGAAATTAGTCAATTTTGTAAAAGTGGATTTGTCACCGCCACTTCTTATGATGCTCAATTCCCGGTATCATTTGTGGAATTTTTTTTATTATTGAAGCTAATAATGATTTGAATGATATATTTTTATTCGTTTTAACCCTTTAATAATTGAATACATTTGGATTTGACAAAGGAAATGCAATGCTGCTGCTAGCCTGCTACAGTTAATTTTGAGTTGAGAGGGAAGCATAGATATGATCTATAATACCGATAGTATTGGTATATGTTAACTTTGTGCAATTGCCATGTAATTATGTTTTTTTTTTATAGCTATTACTGTAGAAATATGCAAAACATGGTCAGCACATTGTGTCATGATTACTATAAAAACAAGACACTGGTTGTAGTTTGACTCAGAGTTTTAGATATTATTGAATGACATGCATACTTGTGGTTTCTCAAGATCCTTGGCCTGCTGTTTAGCATATATCTGTTGAACCATTCTCTGATCGACAAGCAATAAAGATCAAAGCTTTAACCCTAACATGATAGAGAAAAATAATAAGCAACTTAAACATGATAATAGAAAACAATAAATAACATCCTAACATGATAGTAGGAATTAAAATAATATAAGCATGCTTTATAAAAATATAGAGCAATGAAATACTCACTTTGTTGCCTCGTATCTCTTTATATCAAAACAATACACACGTTAGTAAATTCAAGGAAAATATTAAATCAAACAATTAATTTAAATAATTAAAATAGGGATTTGGGACCAAACCCTCAAAAATTATCAACCTTTCACGTCTAGGGCGAAGATAACTTCGAGCTTGGCTAGATGTGTCTAAGTCTCGTGAAGGAGGAATGTTGTATTTGAAAAGGCAAGGCTTAGAAAATAAAGAAAGAAGGAAAGAATAAGTTTCTAGCCTTTAAACAGAAGATAATAGATGATTGTTGATGATTGAAAACGGGAAATAAAGACCCTATTTAAAGAGAAAATAGTCCCGAAACGATAAAAAAAAAGATCGAATTCGATTCGGAGTGCTCCCATCGCGGCGCGAAAGGCTCCATCGCGACGCGATGAGTCGTGTCGTTTTGCGATGGAGAACGATTTATCTAAAATCCATACGGAATCCTTAATCTAATTAAATTAGATTCATTAAAGTTCATACTTATCTTTTAAAATCAGATTTAATCATTTTAAAACACTTTTTTTTTTATTCCAAATTAAACTTATTATTTTTTCTAAATAAAAGTAAAAGTATAATTATTATCATCGGGTTTGGTTTTGGGGAGACTAGATTATTTTAAAATATTAAAGTTAATCCTAATGAATTTAGGAATAACAAATAATGGGCCCTTCACTTAGGGATGTCAGTGGGGCGGGTCAAGTAGGAGACTCGCCCCATCCCCGCCCCAATGGGGCGGGAATGGGTCTCGGTTTGGCGGGTGGTGGGGCGGGGATGGGGATAAAAATCATACCCGCCATGGGTGATGGGGCGGGGGTGGATTTTAAGTTGTACCCGCCCCATCCCCGCCCCACCCGCCCCACTTCGTACCGCCCCATCCCCACCTCATACCCACATATATATATCCTTTAAAGCAAAATTACATACTTTTATTCTATTTATAAAATAATTACATGAAATACAATATTAATTATAATACTTTGTACGCCATTTATATTATAACACAAAAATGTGTATATAATGTTTTATTTTATAATTCGTATTAATTATGTAAGATTGTGTATTTGATATACGGATATTAGGTGGATCTTGGGTGGGGATTAGGCGGGTTTTTGGTGGGGATTAGGTGGTGATGGATATTCAAGTGGGGGGTGGGGCGGGGATGGTTTTGGAGTTGTACCCGGTGGGGCGGGGATGGGGATGAAAATTGGACTCGCCGCGGGGATGGGGATGGGGATGAAAATATTAGGTGAGGATGGGGATGGGAAGGCCAACATCCGCCCCGCCCCGCCCATTGACATCCCTACCTCCACTTGATGATTGGCCGTATATAAAACTCGTTTTGAGCCCAGTTTAGTATTTTTGCCATAACTTCCTCATTATTTATCGGTTAGTTGGACTCGAGTATTGTGAACAAAGACGTCAGATTCCGAGCTTAGAGCGTCGGAACCGAATCTTAAAAGTCGAGCCAAAATTTAGGAATTGGCGAGACGGGAAAATGCTTCAAGTAACAAGTAAAAACCCTACCACGCGAAGGTTAGGGAAGTGCGCCAAATAGAAACGCGCCACATGGCAGCACACATGGCACATCGAAACCCAACAATAGTTTTGTTGGATTGGACTCGAAAAGAGCTTTCCAACGATATATTATAAGCCCAATCCAAGGGATGCCTTTTCTAACACCTTACTCAAGTGAACAATCCCAACGTATGCCTTGGCTATTTATAAGGAGTGCTTCCTTGTGAATTCCACGCATCTTTCAATGTGAGACTTTTCACAAAAAGATCTCACATGGAAAGAATGTTGAATTCAATCCTTAGTTAAATAAACCAAGGAATAACAAAGTAACAAGTGTCACATGGTTAGGTGAGGACCACTTCCTCACTTGCTTCCCAAGGCAAGTCACATGCATTGTGAGCTAACCATGTGCCACCCAACCTTGAACCCCAAGTTGGGTTTGGTTGATCCGCCACTTTTTGGCCCGCGTCCATGACATGTCACCCAGGTCTATGCCCATTTCCACATGGCATTGCCAACGTGGTGCGCTGCGTGGCACGCCGCCAATTGGTGGCTGCTGCCATGTGCGCTTCCACGTGGCGCGTTTCTATTTGGCGTGCTTCCCTAGACTTTGCGTGGTAGGGTTTTTACTTGTTACTTGAAGCATTTTCCCGTCTCGCCAATTCCTAAATTTTGGCTCGACTTTTAAGATTCGGTTCCGACGTCGTTGTTTACAACACTCGAGTGACTTATTAATTCCTTTCGGATTAATTCGACGTGTCAGTTCGTTAGTTGTTGGGTGTGACCCGAAGGGTTCAGTCAAGATTAAGTTGTAATATTAATTGCTCATTAATATTACTAATCGGAAGCAGGCTCCACCTAAGCATTCTGATCACTTGACCTCACTGAATAATTAGCTTTCTAATAATTCCGAACTCTCTATCGGAATAATACACTTGTTCGAAGGACACCATTCCTATCAACTATTATTGGACCCTTACCATGGACAAAACTAAACTGGAATGGATATTTTCCATAAATAGAGTACAAAAAGAAATATTTTCGAAAACAGAATTGAAAGAAGTATTTTTATTAAAACGACTGCATCACAAAACTTTTCACATTTCACCTTGTTCGATAAATGACATGAAAAGACATTCATCACTGGGTTTAGTTTCTAGGGAGACACAATCAGGTGTCTACAATGGTACACATGTTGGTATGTAGAACCAATTCATAACGAGGGAAAGACTTGACACATAGGATGCCACATCACACCCATATGTCGCCTAGTCATGTTGAGGGAAGGGTGACACATGGTGATATCATGTTGTCCCCTTGAGTTTTAATAATATTATACTCCCTCCATTTCATAATTAGAAGCCTAAAACCATCATTTATTACTCACATAATAAGGAGAAATAGGCTTCTAATTATGAAACGGAGGAGTAGATATATGAAGGCGAGAAAATCTTCTTTACCAATATATTTATCTAATAGTGTGATAAATATCTTGAAAATAAAGGTCCTATGGCATGCAAGTAGTGTTAATCCATGAAATTTCCGTTGTATTCTTGCACGAAACTCTTTATTTTTCTTGTCAAATTTAAGCATTCTTTTTTTGTCACCTCAGTATTTTCCTTTTCAATCATATATCATCTTCATTGTTGTAAAAATTTAAATAGAATTTTCAGAGATGTTTCTCTAATTTTATTATTTTTTTGGAACTTAAGTGATGTGAAAAAGCTTTATTGAAAATTTGTATTTATATTAGAAGAGAGGGAAGATAAGGGGTCAAACAATTGAATGATGAATGTGAATAAATTGAATTGGAAGATAAAGGGAGATGAGTAGAAGATTTAGGAAATTTAATTTAATTTTTATTGAATTAAATAGAGATTACAAAATATAAGGAGTTATTGAGAAATAAAAGGGAAGACGAAGAGAATTTTTTTGAAAATATAAGGAAAGAAGTTAAAGAAAAAGAATGATAAAGAAAGATGAAAGAGAAGGAGGATATGTGTTAAATTTAGTTTGTGTTTTTAAATACTACTAGCTTTTGGGTGCGTTCTACGCACAGACTGTGTATAAGTTATTATTTATGCTACAAAAATCATTTATGAAAATAACTTTTACAATCTTATAACATTTAGCACGCACGGTAATTATATAAAATGAAACACCTGAAGTCCAAATGCTTATTATAGATTTACATTCTACATCAAATATAAAATTAAAATCTATTTTTAAAAGAGAACATTTAGTTTGTTCAAAGTATGCTGGGTCTTATGACATTCAAGTAATGTCATACAGACGATACAATAAGGGATTTCTGAATATTCTTACACCCTTTTCTTTTCTTGTCATTCAACTTTCCTTCTTTGAGATTTAAATTATTTCATTTCAATTAGATCACCATCTTCATCGCCGTAGCAAAGAATTTGCACAATATTTTTAGAGATATTTTTTATGTCAATTTTATTTGGGAAACATAGGTGATGTAAAAAATGCTTAATTAGAAATTTATATTAGGAGAGGAAACATGGATAGATGATAAAGGATCAATGAATTAAATAACACGTTCAATTAAAATGAATTTCAAAGATAAAGAAAGAAGATTAAGAAATTTATTAAATATGTTGAGTTAAATAAGAGGTTAAAAAATCATTAGAGTTGTTGATACATAAATATAAATAGGCGAAGATGGAAAAGTTCTACAACAACTAATGACATATAAAGAAAAGAGAAGAATTATGCAAAAATGTAAAAGAAAATGACACGTTAACAAAAGGTAAAAAGAATGGAGGACATTTGGCAAATAGGGTTTGTATTTTTAAATACTAATAATATTAAGTATAGAAGTATAGATAATTTATAAATACCACACATCTTGTGGTCTTAACTAGCACAATTTTATTTTCTATCCATTCACATAAATCTATAGTACTATATAAAGAGAAAAGACTTCTTCGTCGATAAATTTTACTTTTCCTAAAATACCCTTCTACTTTTTAAAAATTATATTATCTACCCACAATAAATAATTAATTTTTTTTTTTTAAAAAACTTATCCTATCATAACTACCCATAAACATAAGCCAATATAAAAAAAAAATACTTATCATAACTACCATATACTAACTTCCACTTCTTTCACATAAATGTATATCTTCAACTGTTTTTACTCCCTATAAAAAATAAAACTGCTCTTGATTAACACAAAAAAAATGAGACTTTTTTTTTGAAACCATACAGATGAGACTTATTAAA